ACAGATGTGGACATTCTTTTTTTGGTATCTGTTCATTGGTCTCTTGCTGTCTGCACATCTCCATTCTGATGACTAGAGAGGATGCCAGAGCGAATGGATATCCCAGCCACCCCTGGAGGGTTCTACTACACATGCGCACAGATCTCCTCAAAATTTAAAGTAACAGTTTCCACTTAAAACCAAATGGCCACCACTCTTCTGTCAGTTTGTCATACTGTGGTGGCTTGTGAGTTGCTATGATTCTGAAAGTAATGCCACCAGTATTTTAAATACCAGCAGGGTCACCCATGGTGGACACGTTTCAGATGAGCTTCCAGACAAAGACAGAGATGAAGAAAGAGTGACGAATGACTTCTGAATCTTTAGTCACTGGAAACCTTATGAATAACAGAGAAACATTGTCAGATATAGTGACGGAAAATGAGCCCCTCAGCTTGAAATGCACTCGAAATGTGAATGGGGAAGAGCTGCCTCCTCAAAGCAGAGTTGACCGTGATAAAGCAAATGGTGAGAGAAAAAGCCCACAGAACTTTCATTTGCTAATCGGCCACAACTGAAAATGAAGTGATATAGCTGTAAACATCCATTGAAAATTGGATTATGGAATGTATGAAGTATGAATCTGGGAAAACTGGAAGCTGTCAAAAATTAAGTGGAACACATAAACATCAATATTTTAGGCATTAGTGAGCTGAAAGGGACTGGTATTGGCCATCGTGAATCTGACAACCACTGGTTTACTATGCCTGGAATGACAAATTGAAGAGGAATGGTGTTGCATTCATTAACAAAAATAACATATCCAGATCAGTCATGAGGTATAACACTGTCTGTGATAGGATAATATCCATGCACCTACAGGGAAGACCAGTTACTACCACTATTAATCAAATTTATGCACAACCACTAAAGCCAGTGAGGAAGAAATAGAAGGATTCTACCAACTTCTTCTATCTGAAATTGATCAAACGTGCTATCAAGATGTACAGATTATTACTGATGATTGAAATGCAAAGTTTGGGAGCAAAGAGGAAGGATCAGTAGCTGCAAAATATGGACTTGGTGATAGAAATGATGCTGGAGAATGCATGATAGAATTCTGCAAAACCAATGATTAGTTCATTTCAAATACTTTTGTTAGACAGCATAAGAGACAACTATACACGTGGAATACCTAGAAATCAAATTGACTACATCTGTGGAAAAAGACTATGGAAAAGCTCCATATTATCAGTGAAAACAAGGGTAGTGGCAGACTGTGGAACAGACCATCAATTACTCATATGCAAATTCAAAATGAAGCTGAAGAGAATGAAAACAAGTCCACCAGAGCCAAAACATGACCTTGAATATATCCCACCTGAATTTCAAGATCATCTGAAGAACAGATTTGATACATTAAACACTAAAGACTGAAGACCAGAAGAGTTGTGGGATGACATCAAGAACATCATACATGAAGAAAGCAAAAAAATCACTGAGAAGACAAGAAAGAAGGAAAAGCTCAAAATGGATGTCAGAGCAGACACTGAAACTTGCTCTGCAGCATGGCGATGCTAAAGCAAATGGAAGAAATGAGGAGGAGGTCTAAGAGCTGAACAGAAAATTTCAAAGATCAGCTTGAGAAGATAAAGCCAAATATGACAATAAAATGTGCAGAGATCTGGAATCAGAAAACCAAAAAGGAAGAATATACTCAGCAGATCTCAAACTAGGGGAAGTGAAGAAAAAAATTCAAGCCTTGACTTTTGTTACTGAAAGATTCTCTGGGCAAATTATTGAATGATGCAGAAATGATCAAGAGATGATGGAAGGAATACACAGTCACTGTACCAAAAGGAAATGGTTAATGTTCAACTGTTTCAAGAGGTAGCATGTGATCAAGAGCCAATGATACTAAAGGAGGAAGTCCAAGGAGCATTGTAGGAATTGGCAAAGAACAAGGTACCAGGAATTGATGGAATAAAAATTGAAATCTTTCAAGAAAGTGAGGCAGCACAGGAGGCACTCACTCATTTTGCTAAGAAATTTGGAAGACAACTATCTGGCCGACTGACTGGAAGAGATCAATATTTATGCCCATTCCAAAGAGAGGTGACCCAACAGAATGCAGAAATCATCGGACAATCTCTTTGATATCTCAAGCGAGTAAAGTTTTGCTAAAGGTAATACAGAAACGGCTACAATCATACATTGACAGAGAACTTCCAGAAGTTCAAGCTGGATTCAGAAGAGGCCGTGGAATGAGGAATATCATTGCTTATGTCCGATGGATCTTGGCTGAAAGCAGAGAATATCAGAAAGATGTTTACCTATGCTTTATTGACTATGCAAAGGTTTTCGATTGTGTGAATCGTGACAAGCTATGGAGTATTCCGGAACACTTAATTGTGCTCATGAGGAATCTGAACCTGGACCAAGTGGCAGTTGTTCGAAGAGAACATGAGAACACTGAATGGTTTAAAATTAGGAAAGGTGTGTGACAAGGTTGTATTCTTTCACCATATTTATTCAACCTGTATGCTGAGAAGCTGGGTTCTATGAAGAAAAACGTGGCATCAGGATTGGAGGAAGACTCACTAACCATCTGCAATATGCAGATGATACAACCTTGCTTGCTGAAAGTGAAGAGGACTTAAAATATTTACTGACGAAGATCAAAGAACACAGCCTTCGGTATGGATTACATCTCAATGTCAAGAAAACAAAAATCCTCACCACTGGACCAATAAATAACATTCTTATCAATGGAGAAAAGATTGACGTTGTCAAGGACTTCATTCTTCTTGGATCAACCATCAACACTCACGGAAGCAGCATTCAAGAGATCAGACGATGTTATTGCATTAGGCAAATCTGCTGCACAAGACCTTTTTAAAGTGTTGAAGAGCAAAGATGTTAGCTTGAGGACTAAGGTGCACCTGACCCAAGCCATGGTATTTTCAATAACCTCATAAGCATGCGAAAGCTCGACAGTGAATAAGGAAGACCGCAGAAGATTTGATGCTTTTGAGTTATGGTGTTGGAAGAGAATATTGAAAGTACCATGGGCTGCCAAAAGAACCAATAGATCCATTTTGGAAGCAATGCAGCCAGAGTGCTCCTTAGAGGCCAAGATGGCCAAACTTCGTCTCTCATACTTTGGACATATTGCCAGGAGGGACCAGTCACTGGAGAAGGATATCATGTTTGGTAAGGTGGAGGGGCAGAGAGAAAAAGAGGAAGACCCCAATGAGATTGATTCTCCAAGTGGCAGCATCGATGGACTCAAGCGTGGCATCAGTTATGAGGTTGGCCCAACATTGGGCAGTGTTTCGTTCTGCTGTACATAGGGTCGCTATGGGTTGGTTCCTACTTGATGGCACCTAACAACAAAAAGTCTATAAAATCTACTCACTTTGAGTGTAGATGGTATCTAGGACATATTTTTATGCCAATAAATAGAGCATCATGTTGCAAAAATCACTGCTTTGATTGAGTTTCATTACATGGTAAAGGTGACGGACTGTAACTATGACTGTTACTCTGTCTTACTAGGAAAAGCCTTTCCTGCTGACCTGAAAGAAACCACCGGCTGTTAGGATGTGAAATTCCTTGGAGAAAGCCATGTGTCAGACTAATGCAGATTGCCTCTAGAAGCTAAGGACCTCAATCCTACAAACACAAGGAATGGAATTCTACCATAGCATTGTAGCTTGCAAAGAAATACACCGTGGCCTTATTATAGCCTGCTGAGACCCGAAGCCCAGGACACAACTAATCCATGCCTGGACTCCTAACCCACTGAAACTATAACAAATGTATACTGATTTGAACTGCTAAACATGTATCAAATGTTATGCAGCAATAGAAAACTAATATCACGAACTGGACATTTTGTACTCAGTATCTCAAATATCACTCTCATTTTCCCCAGATATAAATCCATTGCTGTCAATTCTGACTCAGTGACCTTGTAGACTATTATTTGAATGATATGCATGCATAACTCCAGCCACCCACTAAAATAGGTGGTATGTGCTATGACAGTTATTAAGAAGTTAATTTATAGGAAAATATAGGAATAACATTCCAAAACCAAAATAAAAGAAGTTAGGTTCCTTGGATTCCCTTCAGTGGAACACATTAAGAGTAAGCTATATATATAGCCTTTGGTTGTTTAAATTTATTACATATTCCTGAGTGTTTTTGTGTACATTCCCTCACCCCAAAAAAAGAAAGAAAACAGAGGGAATGGAAGCAAATACAGTTGAATGATGATGCACAGAGGCGATTAGGAGATTATAATCATTACAGTGAAATGATGAGTGCAAAACAAATGTTCTTCCATGTAAACTATCACTCAGTTCACAATTAAAAAATTATTTTCAATGATATATTTGACATACGTTAGAACAGAATTATGACAAATTTGTCAGCTTTAACCCTATCATAAATCAGGACTACTTGTACACATATAATCACAAACATAAAGCAATTCTTTCCTGCAAAATCTTTGCAATCAATAAATAAAGGCTAGCTCTCATAAAAGAAACAATAACAAAAGAGTGGGCTATATAGTTTTACAATATACTTTCTGTTTTTCTTCTTGCTCCTCTTACACCAGAAAGGCAAATACTGTTGCATCCACTTTAATTATAGAAAAATATGAAATTCAAATAGGTTAAAGAGACTTCCCCAAAGCCACATGACTACTAAGTCCCTGTTCCAATTCCCAATATAATGTCTGCTCCTTCATAATGTTGTCTCTAGTGGGACAAAACATGTTAATTTTCACAGCCTTCACAGTTCACATGTCTGGGCTTACCATTTTATTTTATGAAACTTGCTAGGAAAAGTAAACAAAAAAAGCAATATCTTAGGATGAATTATAGTACACACAAACACACTGAGAGAGAGAAAAGAAAGAGAGAGAGAATACATATATTCACTACATATTAATGACATCAGCACATAAAATTATCAAAGCATTAATCAAACATAGATGTACATATAGTTACCTGTATTTCAAGAATATCTTTTGTTTTTGACTGTTTGGTCACAGACTTCTTCCTATAATTAAAAGTATTTTTAAATGCACCATGTTTTTAAATGCAACAGTGCTTTGCTTTCTTGGGGATGACTTTAAGCCATTTTATAGGAATGAGATTTTTCCAAAGAAATTCATGTAAATATTTTTCAAAATCTCTAAAATTGATGCAGGTAAAATGACTGTTATTCAGTAACCCAGAAATTAATTGGAACTTAATCCAACAGCATTTTAGGAGGTTGTGGAACAATATACACTTGTCTGGGGATATTCATCAGCTACACGCTCAAATTTATGATATAAGTAATTCTCAAAGTGAACACTGC